AAGTGTCAACTCTGTTTTTGTTTTCACCTAAATAACGAGCAATGCAAAAATACAATAATAAACGTGAAAACTTTCCCTTCTATCACAAATTTCTATCAGCATATTTCTGCCAAACTTTTCGAACTCGCACCCTCCAACAACTACATTTTCTACATTTTTACTTTTGCCATCACTTTATTTATGCATCTTCCATTTACTTACTTGTATTCCTTCGATAGACTTTTGCTTCATAGTCGAGAACTGCTCGTAAGCGATGATGAATATTTATGAGTATTGAAAAACTTTGCCGTTACGTTCCACTGTCACGAAMTGTCGTGGTGTGGGCAGCGCGCCCGAAAATATGCTTACAAATTGAATTGAGTTGTTATCTGACTGAATGAGTATCTGTCCGGCATTTAATTTCTATTATTCACATTTTTTATCCTCTCCATTTCACTTGGAATGTTTAAAGTTGTTTTTTCCATACCACGAAGCTTACACATACAACAAATATATTTTCTTCTTGAGAGTTTCTTTTGGATGTATATTTTTGGAAAATTGTTATTAATTTCACTCGCGTGGTTTGACTTTGAAATCTTCATTTATGTGTTGGTGTTGTTAGCAAGAGGAGCTGAGTGTCGCGATTTGAGTGTTGTAACTGTTAATGTTTTTTGAAATATTTTTGCATTTGAAGATACTTTAATACTGAAAGATGTGAAGAGAGAGACAATTTGAAAAATTAATATTCTCAAGGGTTCTTTGAAGCAAAAGACTATTAATGAATCTGTTTTTTTTTTGCGGAAAATAGAAAGCAATATTATCGATCTGAAATATATTGCTTTGTTCAGTGAAGGCATAGTTTTAATTAAGGCGCAAATGTTTTAAAATTAAATTCATAAAGACGCTTCTTCAAACTGAACTGATCATGATTATTAGCTTGAGGACTCTACCTTGACTTTGTGCTTTTAATAATCTCACCAAGTACTGTCTTGAGGTCCACAGAGAATTGTTTTATCGCTTGAAGCAGCTGACGGGTTTGGAACTTGGCTGTTTCTGAGAATATCTTAAATAGGATGATTTGTCTAAGAAATCTAATTCATTAAAAAGAAAAAAAAAACTGATTTCAACAAAAATGACATTATCTTTCGTTCAAATTATAAATATTTGAAAGATCTGGACTAAAGATAGAGGAGTGTTCGAAATAAATCATTAATGAACAAAGAACCGAAATTTTTGTCTAGTAGGAAGAAAGAATATGAAAAATTAATACCGAAGCTAGCCGAATAGAGGATTATAATAATGTTGTTTGCCGAGGCAAAAGCTAGAGACCTATAATAATAATATATCGATAACACCAGAATGTTGTAAGTCTTGGACTTTAACTTCTCGAATAAGTATAAGAAAAATTTATATATTCTCTGAAAAAGATATGTCAATAAAGGGTTTAAAATTAAAGAAACCAAAATGTTGTAGTTAATGCATTCAATCGATTAGTTTGACATGAGTTCCAGTCAGAAACTTAAGGCGAACTGTTTTCGGAAAGGTCTAAACCAACATATCCACTCAAGAGTTTGATTACTGAGTCACAGTATACTTTCTTTTTGAGCTATTCAAATATGTCAGATGAGATTAACAGCAACAGGCATTTGACGATAGTCCCTCGCTGAGCTCTGAAAGTACATTCTACGAGGGTTTTGGTTCACTATTCGATTTGGTTTAGTCTATTCTAATTCTCTCTTAAATTATTACAGGTTTCACAATTATCTTGATAAACAAAGAAAACTTCATCAGTCACACTATAAAAAGTCAGATTCAATTAGGGTTAAAAGCTCTTCTCTATTTTCGAAATGGAAAAAGTTTAGTTAATATTTTATTGGACAGCACTGTACAAATGGCCTTTGTATAAAATAAGTCGGAGTGACGAGATCATTTTATCCAGTGTCTTTCAGGTGCTGTGGTTGAACATTTTTATACTCTCGCAACAAAGTTGCTAAAGAGAGTATTATAGTTTTGATCACATAACGGTTGTTTGTAAGTCCTAAAACTAAAAGAGTTAGATATAGGGTTATATATACCAAAGTGATCAGGGTGACGAGTAGAGTTGAAATCCGGATATCCGTCTGTCCAACGGATGATTGCAAGCTGTAACTTGAGTAAAAATTGAGATATCATGATGAAACTTGGGCAAAATCGGCCCACTGCCACGCCCACAAAATGGCGGAAACCCAAAAACTTATAAAGTGTCATAACTAAGCCATAAATATATTAAAATGAAATTTGGCACAAAGGATCGCATTAGGGATGAGCATATTTGGACGTAATTTTTTTGGAAAAGTGGTCGTGGCCCCGCCCCTTACTAACTTTTTTGTACATATCTCGAAAACTACTATAGCTATGTCAACCAACCTGTATAGAGTCGTTTCTTTTAGGCATTTCCATATACAGTTCAAAAATGGAAGAAATCGGATAATAACCRCGCCCACCTCCAATACAAAGGTTATGTTGAAATCACTAAAAGTGCGTTAACCGACTAACCAAAAACGTCAGAAGCACTAAATTTTACGGAAGAAATGGCAGAAGGAACCTGCACCCAGGCTTTTTTTAAAAATTGAAAATGGGTGTGGCGACGCCCACTTGTGGACCAAAAACCATGTCTCAGGAACTGCTCTACCGATTTCACCGGTATGTAATATTTTCTTAACACCCTGATGACATGTTCGAAATATGGGTGAAATCGGTTCACAACCACGCCTTCTTCCAATATAAAGCTATTTTGAATTCTATCTGATGCCTTCTCTGTATAATATATACATTAGGAACCAATGATGATAKCGGAATAAAACTTTACACAAATACGGTATTTGAGCTGAGGTATCMMTTGTGGAAAAATTGTCGTGATCGGATTATAACTTTTCAATGCAATTAAAATAAATGAAAATACAATTCAATACTCRAAGTACACAAATTGATCTAATCTAATTAATTTACAGCAAAATAAAAAAATACCTAAATGACGGATAATGAAATCTCGATTATCACTTTATCATGCGAGAGTATAAAATGTTCGGTGACACCCTGAACTTAGCCCTTCCTTACTTGTTATACCCTCAATTAGTTAAATAAAGTTTGTTAAGAAGTTTGTAACAATGAGATAGAAATGTCGGAGACATTAGGGTAAGAAGCTGAGTTAATTTAACCGTAACCTTTTGCGAAATATTTTTTCAGTTCTCAAAATACAGATCTGAAATTTTGCACTAGAGGAGTTATTCAGATCGGACCTCTGTAGCATATAGCTACCTCATAAACTGAACAATCAAAATCAAGTTCTTGTACGGAATATTCTCTGTTTGTGAAGGGTATTACATCTTCGGTGCAACTGAAGTTTTTGCTATAATTTTCAATGTCTCAGCATGAACTGCTCAATCGGCAATTTTCAAACTGTTTATGTGACTTACCGCGGTATGAAAAAAAAAAAACTGGTAGCGCGCTGCCAAAATTCACTGAATCATCATCTATATTATTTGCATTGCTTTACTTCGCTTTTTGCACTAACAAATCTTATTAAAAACCAGTTGACAAATTTTGTCAAGCGAATTCGTCACGGCTCCACTAATTCATTTATTAACAAGCTCTTATAGCATTAGGCAAGCGCACGCTTATTGCAAAGCAAAATTAACAAGAAAATTATGAAATTCAATTATTAAATCAAATTAATTACTGGCAGCGCCTAAATATGTCGCATAAGTATAAAAACGCCTGCAGAGCCGCGAAACAGTATCAGTTGACACTTGCAGGTTTAGCGCATCTCAAGCAGTCGCCCTCAAATCAAATTAACTCCGAAATGTTTTTCAAATTCGCACTCACCTTCGCCGCCCTCCTCGCCGTTGCCAAYGCCGGGGCCATACTCTCCCACGTAGCGGTCGCGCCCGTTGCTGTAGCCAAGATTGCTAATCCCTCTGTGGATGCGGTGGCTACGACCCATCAAAATGTCGTGCGCTCCTTCGCCGGCACCGGCTCCCATCACTCCAAGGCTGTGGATACACCCTACTCCAGCGTACGCCRATCGGATACACGCATCAACAACAAAGTCTACGCACCAGCTATCGCCAAGACCGTGACCACATATGCTGCTCCAGCTGTGGCCCCCGTCGTTTCTGCTTACACTGCAGCCGCCGCTGCTCCGTTGGTCAGCAAAACCATCCTGTCGCCCGTCGCTAAGGTCGCTCCAGTTGTGTACTCTCATGCTGCTCCAGTCGCCACTTACGGACATGTCGCTGCTGCTCCAGCTATTGCTTACTCGCCAGCTGCTGCTGTCGCTCATGTTGCCTTCGACGGTTTCGGCACACACTGGGGTTATTAATCAGTTGTTTTTACATGTGATTTGTTGAATGTGTTAACTGTTCATTTATTATTGTTAATAAAAAAAACTATGTTATAAAATATAAATATGTAATTTTGGACATTGTTAGGAAATTTGAAATCTTACATCGGGTCTAAATACGAAGTATAWTCTTGTTTCGTAAAGTTTCACTGTCAATAAAAACTCTGCCATCCTATCTAGATACTCGCTGTAATATTTAACCCTCCCATTCTTATYTAATATAAATAATAGATTTAGCGAAAGATACATCTCCCTGAGGGTTCACATTGAAAATATGGTCGGCTCGGAGAAATCAAATTTCGGGCGATTTTAGCTTGAGCCCGAAATTTATACAGCTAGGAACTTCAAAACTTGGAATTTGCATATTTATAGATTACCAGGTCCAAACTCTTGTACCACTTTCAAGTTAGTTGTCTATCTCATAGAAGCTATTCTTAGTTATTTAATTCCCTTTTTTTAAGGGTTGAAACTATTACCCTCTAGAGTGCTGTCGAACATCTCGAAACTATTGTCGATAAAAAACTATCCTGAAGCGATCCATTTTCTCTTCACATGTGTCATCCGTTCCGTACTAACATATGGTACATTGGTATGCTGGATATCTGTATTGTAAAAATGTCGAGTTAAACCCCTGGAACAGGAGCARAGACCTGCTTATTGGAGATTACGGKTGAAAASCYATATCAACAAATGCTCTTGAGSTTATCTTCGATATCCGCCCAACGAATATTATATATATTCGAAGGATTTAGGCCAACGAGCTCATGATTTTAATGCAGTGGAACCAGTCTCGCCGATCGAGTAAAGGACATCAATTAGAAATTAAACACAACGTTTCACTCCTCAGTGGAATATAATATATCAATAGTTCTGTGATTGACAGTTCCAACAGTGGAATCTACATACCGACGGAACAAAGTGTAAAGTAGAAAGAGGAGCGGGCTTCCTCCGTAGTAACCAATAAGCAGAAGGTAATTGACTATGCCTTTCAGGTCGAATARCAGAAGTCAAGTAGGCTTCAGCTCTAACCAGCGAGTTCGTAAACCTTCTTGTGGACAGTCAGCGCATATTGGGGCTATTCGGAGCGCTCATAAAAAGGCGGAATGCGTTAGGTTATGTAAGGAGGGATAACTAAACTTTCAATTGGAAACTCGGTTAATATCATCTTGGTCAGTCATACATAGAAAAAAGGTACTTTAGATCGTTTCGCTCGGGGCACTGCCAGCTGCCTGGCTAGTATAGTCATTGCTAGTTCATGGGTTACTTGAAGCAACACCTCATAACTTGAAACACTAGCATAACAGGACATACCATTAATTTTTGGATAGTGGGTTGGTATTGAAAGTATATCTGGAAACCTGTAGATGGATGCCTTATCAAGACTAAAATWAAATTTTTTGTATRYGTTTGAAGTTATSGGATCAATGAAAGTTTCTATAARTCCCAACCCGATTCCAAAAGYCTTGCCGATTTTATGGAATTTTCGCATAAGTGAGGTTTGAGCCAGAGGCTAATACTGCTCTTAAAAATTATAATTATATCTTGAGTAGTGTATATTAAGTTTGTCACGAAGTCTTTAATACCCAGAAGGAAACGTCGGAAATGCTTTAAAGTCTCTCTGTAAATGATCACGAACGAGTCGATTTAACCATGTCCGTGTCTAACTACTCCAGKTACTCTTTCAGTTTTTATGATATCGATTTGGATCCTTTTTTTTCCCAAAAATTTGGTTGACGCAGCCGCCGAAATTGGACTACTTTAGCGTATAGCTGCCATATAAACTGACCGATCAAATAAAGCTGTAGTATGGACAATTTTTTTTTGACAAGGTATTATTTCCAAACCTAAGATTTTTGTCGGAGGCTACGCTACAATTTCCGAACACATTGTTCAGATCAGATCCTTATAGTATATAGCTGTCATACAAATTGACCGTCTAAAATAATAATAGTACAATTTACTTCCTTGCTATTTTTACCGCACAATTAATTCTCGACTACCGTGTAAATCAAAAAAACCAAGTCGCTAAAGTTTGTTAGCCATTGACACTGCCGACTAACTCAATTTTCCACATCATTTAATAAGACTCATTGGCAGTCATCAGCATCAACACCATCATCAAAAGTGGCATCAAAATAATGGAGACATTTCATAATATGCAAATCGGSCGGCTGGCTTCCGTCAGGAGTCTAATCCCAGTGAGT